AATCCAAAAAAGGAGAGAAAACAATAATGAAAACTAGTGTTTGATTTTTGAAGACCAATAATGATACACCTGTAGTTTGCCAATCAGAGGAAAGAAAAGTAACACAAATTAATGATATTATAAAAGAGCATATTTAATGAAGAACCTATCGACATTGCAAGAATAGCAAGAGGATATTAAGAACAAACTTTTGCTGATAAATTAAATATGATGAAATGACCACATTTCTTAAAAATTACAACTGGTCATAACTGATACAAGTGAAATAGAAAATCCAATTACCCAGTATCTATTAAAGAAACTGATTTGGTTTTCAATCAGCTTCTAACAGATAAAGCTTCAGGCCCAGGTGATTTCACTGATAAGTTCTACCACGTGTTCAAGGTAGAGATAACACCAACCCTCCACAAAGCTGTCCACAGGACCCTGAAGAAAGGACTCACTCCTGGTTTGTTTTCTGAGATCAGCATCACCGAGATAGCAAAACTTGAAAGTACATTTCAAAAGGAAGGCAGGAGGAAAGAAAGACAGGAAGGAGACTGTCCTTTTGAATATAGTTGCAAATCAAAATCAGCCATTTATGAGAAAGGTAATGTGTCACATTGCTTTATACTAGGAAAACACAGTTGGCTTAGTATTGGAAAATTGATCAGTGGAATTTACCTTGTTAATACAATTTGAGATGAAATCAGATGATTTCTTAAATAAATTCACAAAAAACTACTTGGCAGCATTGGGCACCAGTTAATGTTAAATCTCATCAAAGCAGGAGCTGATGATTCCTCAGTCTGATAAAAGGCATGCATAAGAGCCAAAAGCCATAACCGACTCCATGCCAAATGTTATGACCAGAGCCACCCGGCTCCTACATGAGAACAAGGTGGAGCCCTCTCGGCAGCATGTTCCAGGTCAGCAGTTAGCCAGCCATTGTGACAAGTCAAGAAAAACAGAGACATAAAACCCAGGAAGGAAAAGAACAGCTCTCTCCCTACACAGGGGCACGACTGTTAAAAAGAAATCCTACCAGAAGCAAGTTGAGCCACATCACAAGTGATGCACTCAGCACACACAGATCTAGTTTTACAAAGCCAGCAATGAAAACTTGTAACTTTAATTTTAAAAGTCAACTCCATTTAAAATAGCTTTGGAAATTGCAAAGCAGTTGAGAATGAATTTAACAAAAGATGTACAAGGAAGAATGTCAAAGAGGAGATATCCATGAGATAGGAGTCGTGACGTTGTTAACATATGAATTCTCTCAAAATTGATCTATAGATTCAGCTTAATCACAATCTACACTTGTTGTGTAAGTTTTGACAAACTGAACCTATAATCTATATGATTTTAGGGCCCAGGAGAGTCAAAATAGGACTCGGAATAGTCAAAACAATATTGAAAACCAAAAAGGAAATCAGAAGACTTAGCATACCTGATTCCAGGTGGGTGTGGCACAGGTTGAATCCCCTGTTTCAAAAATCAGAAATCTGAAATACTCCAAAATCTGAGACTTTTTGAGTGCCAGTACGATGTAACAAGAGGAAATTTTGCTTTGTGCACAGAATGATGAAAATACTGCAGAGATTACCTTCAGTCTACGTGTATAAAGCATACGTGCAACAAATTAATGCTATGTTTGGACATGAGTCCCATTCCCAAAATAAATGTAGCATCTGCCAAAAATTGTATACACACTCCAGCAGTTCTCCATACTAATAAATGTCTGAAGCTCACAGCCACTACTTTGGGCCCCTCTTATAATTGTAGAGGCCAAAGATACCTTGTATTAATCTCATGATGTCTCAATAAATTCGGTATTATAATACTCATACAAGTTTTTCTTTCCCTGATGTACACATTTTTGGTGGACTCTGTATATACAAATAATCCAAAATGTGGAAAAACCACATTATCTGAAACACTTCTCATCTCAAGCATTTTGGCTAAGGGATACTCAGCTTCTACTGGGGTGTGAATAGGACCCAGACACGTCTGGCTCATTAGCAATACCGGAAAGTGCCAAGGTAGTTCAATGAGGGACACAATGTCCTTTTTGACAAATGGTTCTGAAACAACCAGATGCTCATACTATGAAAAATGAGTCGTGATCTCTATGTCATGCACCTTACACAAAATTTAATATTAAGTGGATAATAGGCCTCAATATAAAACTTAAAACCATAAAGTCTCTATAAATATTTTGTAATTTGGAGGTAGGCAACATTTTCCTGGGTAGGATATAGAAAGAAACAATCATAAAAGCGAAAAAGATAAATTAAAATTCACCAGTATTGGAAATTTCAGCTAAGAAAATGACTCAATTAATAAAGTAAGTATTAGATCAGAGTAGGTAAGGGCATTATAGACAATATGAAGAACTCCTATAAGAACAGTGGGAATTCAACAGTGAAATAAGAGGACAAAAACTCCAACCCAGTTAAGAAGAGAAAAACCCTTGGAATAAAACATCACAAATGAAGGTCTATGAATGATCATTAAACACACAGCTTCAGCATCATTAGTTCTCATGTCAGTATCAAACAAGATCATAGCAGCACAGTCTGAGCCCGTGACATGTTGAAGGATGAGGAGCAACTGGAACTCTCACATGCTGGTGGCTGGAGTTCAGGTCGATGCAACTGTGCAACAAAGCAGCCTGGTACTTCCTCATAAACGGTAATGAACACTCCTGAGCTTATTTACTGGACAGATGGGAGCACACATCCACAGAAAGACTGCATGAGTGTGGGTAGCACCTTATTCTTATAAGAGAAAACCAGAAACATCCCAGATGTCCACCACTGGGAAAACAGCTCAACAGATACTAGTATATTTCTACACTGGAAAACCATACCAAAGTAACACATGAATGCATGTGAATACATGCTGTAACATGGATGAATCTAAAAAAAAAAAAAAAGGCAAGCTAAAAGGAAAAAATGCTATACCAAACAGCAAATGTTATATCTTTCCATTTGTCTATTCTAGAACAGGCAAAATTGTAGTAAAAAAAAAAATACAGGGAAAATGGCAGGGAAGGGGTGGATCAATTGCAAGATGCAGGAGGGAAATTTTGGATGGAAACAGAGCTGCATGACATAGTTTTATGCATGTTGGGAATTCATCCAATGATACACTCCAGATTTGTGCACTTCTCTTTTCTTCTCATATTTAAAGAGTATTTTTTTATTTCTGGAAATTCATTATTCATTTAGGATTACTATAAAACCACAGTGTTAGGGTGCTTGTTATAAGGATAACAATGCTGCGGAGGATGCCGGGGAATTGAAAGCCCTTTACACTGCTGGTGGGAATGTAAAGTGGGGCAGCAGCTGTGGAAAACAGTGCGGCAGTTTTCAAGAGATTAGATAAAAATGGAATTGCCGTGAAAGCCAACGACTCTACGCAAAAGAATGTAGGAGGAGAACAGAATCGGGGTCTGGAAGGGCCACCTGCACACCCACACCGGGTGCCCCACTATTCTTTGCACGGCAGCTGCACGTGGAAACACTCCACCACCCATTGACAGATGAGTGGACAAAGAGAACATGGCATCCAGCCATGGAGTACCCAGTATTCAGCCTTTCAAAAGAAGGAAATTCTGACCCACACAACCCCGTGGAGAATGGAAGTGACTGCCACAGACACCAGCTACAATCTTGCACAGGAGTCTCAGCTCCACCAGCAGATGGTCCGCTACTTCCTGACCCAGCAGTGAATCTCCCCCAGCCGACACATGCATGAAACTGCAGAACATCATGGCAGTGAAAGGAGCAAGTTACAGAAGGATGACTATTGCATGATTCTACTTCTATGCAGAATATTCAAACTCAGGGAAGTGGACAGCAGAATTTTGTGGAACTTTAGTAACTCACTAAAATCCACAGAAGAGGAGCAGAGCTGTGTGTTAGCCTGGACTCTCCAGAGAAACTGTATCCCACACACATTACAGTAAGCAATGGGCTCGTGTAACTACGGAACTTGAGAAGTCCAAGATTTACAGCCAACACACCAAAGACCCAGCAGAGGCAATGGTGTAAGTTCCAGGCTAAGTCCAAATTTGAAGGCAGGTGAGGACTAATGTCCAAGCATGAAGACACTCAGAAAATTTGCTCTTGCTAAGCTTTTGATTCTCAGTGGGCCATCATTGAATGGGTCATGTCCACCCACATTGGAGAGAACCCTCTGCTCCACTCCACCAGTTCAAATGTTAATCGCATCCGAACACTGTCATAAACACACCTGAAGCCTCACTTACCCAGGGATCTGGGCACCCTGTGGCCCAGTCAAGTTGACACATAAAGTAAAGCAGCCTAAGCTCTGGAGCCTGTCTTCAACACTCTCCAACACCAGTGCTGACAGAGACCACAGAACCCCCAGGGCTCTGTGGGCATCTGCTTCCCCTGACCTGCTCTGCCTGGAGGACCAGGACAGTTTCAACAGAGCTGCTGGGGTGTCCAGCAACGGGCTGCCTCAGATCTCTGCTGCCTTGGCTCTTGACCTGGTGTGAATACAGGGGTGGAATGCAAGGCACAGCCTCCAGCTCTGGTATGTCATGCTCCCTGCAGCAGGAAGAACATTCTGAGGGGCCAGAGTCCAGCAGTCCACAATCTATCCATGTTCCTAGTCACCATCTCTCTTCTGGAAGGTAAGCAAGGTGAGGGACCTGTTCTCTTCCCTCCTGATCGCAGTGTCAGGAACAAGGTTGGGCACACAGTTGATGCTCAATTAAATTTTTTGCATGAACAAAGTAATGGATCCACAGACGGATGGATGGATGGGTGCCTGGGTAGAAATGTGGATAGGTGAATGGACGGGTGGGTGGATGGGTGGGTGGATTGGTAGATGGGTGGATAGGTGAATGGACAGGTGGGTGGATGGGTGGGTGGGTGTACAGGTGAGTGGATGAGTGGATGGGTGGGTGGGTGAGTGGATGGTTGGATGGGTGGATGGATGGGTGGATCCAGGAAGTGTCCACCCTCTTTGGATCAACAGAACTCTTTATAAACCCTCCCTTCCCACAGAGAATTTCATCATATTTTTCTTCTTTAACCAACTCTGATGCGAAAATTGAGGTCAGGACTCTGACCACCTATTCCTGGCTCCACCATGCTACCAAATGCCTCTGGGAGAGTGGGTGAAGTCGGCTCAGGGAATCTCTGCTGCTCCTCATTTCATCTTCAAGATGTCGAGTAAGCATAGGCGGTACTTGGCTATTCCTGCTGCAAGTAGGAAGTGGGTATTAGCGTGCAAGCCCTACTACACACTGTCCTGAGCTCCCCCTCACTCTGGTCACCCTCATTTCCCACCATCCTTCACCCCACCCTGGAGGAGCCAGCAGCGATGTAGGTGGGAACGGAGTAGGGCTGAAAGCCAAAGCCTCTGACCTCTCCCTTACTGTGAGAACCCCACTCAGAGCTCCAGCTCCCCTTGGGGCAGCATCCAGCACCCACCAGGCAGTGTCTCCTCAGAGCTGGTGGTGTGACACTCACCTGGGAGCCACCTCCCTCCCTCAGCGGTGCTCATGCCTGGCCTCAGCAGCTCTCTCACCTTGAATTTCAGGCTTGCAAAGCAAAGCCAATGAACAGGTTAATATCAGCACAGCACTCAGAATTCTGAAATAAGCGCTGCTCAGAAAGTGGCTATGATTAGTCATTATTATTAATATAAAGTCAAAGGGAGTGGAGTTGAAATGCCCAGTGCCCTACAGACTGACAGATTGCCACATCCCTTTGCTATTTGCTAATGCCATTACTTTTACAGCTTAATCTTCCTGTAACCATTTTTCGATAATCAGGGAAGTTAAATTAAATTAAATGCAACTCTTAGCTGTGAAGTACAGAACCTTGCTTACCTTGCTCTTACCGCACGATATTGACTCAGGCAGCTGAGTTCTTAGCGGGTTTCCAGTGCTTGAGCTCCAACTCTTCGTGATGATGCCACCCCCGTGGTTTTCCCTCTAACACACGTTCTGACAAATGGAATAAAGCCTGCAGATTGTGAAATGGACTGGAGTTTATACCACAAAACCTGTGCATTCTTTGGACTCCTTACCTCAAGTTAATGCTGACAAAACTGGAGATGGTAGAACCCTCATAAATCGCAACCAAGGTCATATCAAAACATTTTGGAACCACAAAAAGTTTGTCCAGATGTGACAAAGTACCTGCTTTTCAGAAGCCCCTTAAAACTTTATGCACTTTTTGACACAACACAGTCGAAGGCAGCTCTGTGGGTTTTGTTGCAATGGCTTTAGAACTGTGGAATTTCTTTTTAAATAAAGGATCATACACACTGGGATTTGTTTTGGATTAGCTTACTTCTGTACAGAGCTGCAGTGGGGGGAAAAAGCGAGAAAAGATGGCCCGTACCTAACTCACATCTGCGGTTGCCATAAGGGAAGCTTTAAAGATAGTACCATACAAAGAGAGTAAAAATAAATTACGGAGGCTTACTAGCTATGCGTCGGAGACAGTAGCACCATCTGCTTTAAGTAACATTTATTTTCCTGAAAAAAAAAAAAAAACATGTTCTAAAACTGAATAATGTCCATGTAGTCTAAATATTTGCTTCCCATGAGCGTCCTGGGAATGATATACAAACGTTCCAAGAATTCAGAAGGCATCACCAAATACTGGAATGGAAAGAAACAAAGTTACTCTGCCATGCGGCGTGCTCGATTGCTATGTAAATGGGAGAGCATTATTATTTATTGCTTTTTCAGCTCTGGCAGTTGGAAATATTGCAGAATCAGAAGACATCTGTTGAGTGTAACAGGACTGTCTGCAAAGCTGCACTTGGGATGGAATCGTGTTATTTCTGGACCCATGGATGCAGGCACAAACTTACTGTGAGAAGCAAACTGCTCTGAGCTCTTTGCAGCCACTTACCCAGCACGAGTGAAACACTCCAGGAGGGTGTGCCAGGGTGTTACGTGTTAACTCCAGCTGACGGCTGACGTGTGGGTTCCGCTCCCCACCATCTGATTCAGGAGGTCGGGCTGTGCTGGTTGACTAAGCTATCCTGTATTCTGAGCAGACCATCAGGAGCCTTGAGGGGGCTGGTCAATGGCCAAGGCTGCGGAATGGACAAGCCCAGCCCTGTAATTTACTGGTGCTGCTCAATTTCCTTCATCTGTACAATGGGAATAACGGCATTCCCCGTGTTACAGAGCTGTTAAGAGACCTGAATCGATACACATCAGGTGTGTAGTGTCTGGGCTGTGGGATGTCTGTTCCTCCTCTGCTCCTCTGGTTGGTATCAAAGGTCTAGCAGGGCTCGGAGGACATGTAAGTGAAAACTACATCAGAACCATCATGGAACGTGATGGGGGCCGTCAGTGGAAAGATGATCCAGTGACCTGTGGCCGCAGCCTTTGAATTCTGGCCCACGGCTTCTCTTCCGCCACTGTCTTGCCTTAGTCTTCGATAGTCCACATCTGCCAAGGTAGTTGCACCAAACCCAAAGCCCTGGTCTTAACTCTCCTGGAGGCACCTTCTCACCTTCCCCTCTGAGGACCTGACATGGGAAAAAGCAAGTTCGGCAGGCATCAACAGACACGGACCGACACTGCCTCACCACTCCATGGCCCCTGCCATCCCCTCCCCGAGAGCAGGAGGCAGCTCTGTATGCTAAGAATGCGCTGCGAGTTCCACTTTAACACATGAAGATCCTTCCGATAAATGTCCATCGCACCTGCACACCAACGTCATAAGTATTCAGGAAACATACTTGTGCCCAGTATAGTGTTATTTTTACTGTTCACATTATCGGTATAGTTATTAAGCCCCCTTCATTAATGATTGCTACGAGCACACTAGCTAGTACACTGGCGGCTTCACTGCTAGCAAAGGTAATGCGTCCTCGCCTCTAGCGGTGACTCATTTATTCTCCTGGTTTCCTGGGTGAAGACAAGGAAGGAATTGCATAGCTATGAGATGCAGAGCGGTGTGCTTCTAGGAACGTGGCAGCCATGAGTTGAGGAAGCACAGTCCTGATGAATCTGCTGCCTGCTTTTGCCTGGGCCCCTAAGCCATAGTGGTCTTATCAGTCCTGGGGCCCTTAAGATGGACACAACCCAGCACTGGCAGGTGGCACTCCCAGGGTCATGGTGATGCGCTGTGATAGTGCCCAGAAGCTGGGGAGGGGCACATGGCCTGCAGGCAAGGGGCAGCATGGAGAAAGCCTCAGAGAACCCAGCCCCAGGCAGCTCCCTTGCTCCCTGGTGGGTGGGGGTGCAGAAGATGGGGAGACCTCACTACAAATCAGCAAGCGTGCTGCTGAGAACTTAGCCTGAGGCCAGGCATCAAACACAGACTTACACTCATGTGTCTCTGCGTGACAGAGACACGTTCTGAGAAACACTTGTAGGGTGACTTTGTTGTTGAACAACCATCATAGTGTGCACTTACATGAACCATACTTGGTGCAGCCCGCTACACATGTAGACACGGGGTGTGTGACTCTGTACATGGTCTAGCCTGACACAGCAGAGCTAGGATAAACACAAGCATATCAGATTAAAGAAATCACCAGCAGAGTAAAAAGAAAACCCACAAATTCAGAAAAAAATTTAGCTGGCTGTCCCTCAGACAAAGGACTTCTATCTAGAACACATAAAGAATTTAAAAAAATCAGCCCCCCCAAAATTCAAAGACACAATCCACAAATGGCATCTGAGATGAATACACACTTCTCAGACAAAGAAATACAAATGGCAAATAAATACATGAGAAAATGTTCAGTATCATTAGTCATTCAAGAAATGCAAATTAAAACAACACTGAGATTCCATCCCACCAGTAAGAACGGCTAGCATTAAGAAACCAACCAATAACAAATGCTGGTGAGGCTGTGGAGAAATAGGAACTCTTCTCCACTGCTGGTGGGAATGCAGAATGGTGAAACCACTGTGGAAATCAGTTTGGAGACTCCTCAGCAAACTAGGACTAGAGGTCCCATTCAATCCAGCTATTCCCCTTCTGGGTATTTTCTCAGAAGAACTGAAAACATCATATTACAGCAATATATGTGTAGCCATGTTTATAGCAGCACAATTTGTAATAGCTAAATCATGGAAGCAACCCAAATGTCCATCCATTGAGGATTGGATAAAAAAAAGTTGTGGTATATTTATATAATGGAATATTACTTAGCTATAAAGAAAGGTAAACTCAAGGCTTTTATAGGTAAATAGTCACAACTAGAGACCATACTCATAAGTGAAATAAATCAGACCCACATGTGTATACAATGTATTGTCTCACTAGTGTAAGAACCTGAAAGAGTGAATAAAATTAGGAGGTATGGTAGACATTATGAAATGAAAGAAACTGCTCAAAAGTAGAGAGCAACTAGGATGAGGGAAAAGAGAAAAGAAAGAAGGGGAAATTATGTATGTATGTATACACAGGACAGCTAACATAGTTGTACTACTGACTTCTATCGCTTTATTGATTAATTATTTGATCAATCTTACATGCCTACATTTGTTTTCCTGAGTAACCACTTTGAAGAAATCAGTATGTAATACAACAACCACTGTTAATTTCTTATCACCTTCTCTGAATTTCAGTATTGCTTGTGCTGTTCTTGTGTTATTTTGTAAATATATGTGTGTTTGTTAATATGTTTTCATTCTATTATTTTTAAAATAAAATAAAATAATAAAATCTTGAGGGGAAGAAAAGCACCAAGGAAGAAGACATGGTCAAGAGACAGGGTAAACAAGAGATGCACAGGGCTTTGCTGGTGGAACACGCAGGCTGCTTTGAAGGACACTTTCTTATGAGTAGCGCTGCATTTGCAATGAGTGATCAACGGTAACCTCATCATCATGGGGAGTCTATGGCACATAACTGCATCTGCAGGTTTGTTCACACCAGATCACCACACATGCATGAGGACCATTTTGCACTGTGCCATTTTGATAGCTACCACCTCACAAGGCAATGGGAGCTTGTCAGCTCTGTTATACTCTTAGGGGACAGAAATGGTGTCATGTGCTACCTAACAGTGCACACATGATTGCTGGCCGGGTTGACTGCACTCTCAGCCAGTGTCTGTGGTACAAACCATAGCTGCCTAAGCATCAGGGCTGCAAGAAAGGCAGGCGATGGATGATCTCCAATAGTGCGGTTTCCCCCTTGCTGTCAGGACCAACAGGCAACCCTTTGTTCCCATAGGCTCAGCTTGGGAAATTCCCACCCTCGCTCTGAGCAAACCATCCTGGAGACAGCGAGAGTGCAGTTCCGGAAGCAGCACGGCTGGACCGCAGCCCTGGGGTCACTCAGAGAATGTGTGTGACCGTGGCTCTTGTACTAACACTCACAGTTAGACTCTGTTTGCTTCTTTCCACAAAGTTTGTGGACTCCATTTCCTTAAGCACTTCCATGGCTTACATTCCACATAGGGAGAAACAAACAACAACAAAGCCAAGAAAGAGGTAGGATTAGATCGGTTCTCTGAAAGTTGTCCTACAGGTATTGGTGCCCTGGTCCATCGCAAGGCAAGCTGAGCACCAGTTGGATGCACAGGGGAGGGTATCTGGCTGCAGCTGGGGTGAGGCCATGGAGGGCAGCCATAGAGGAAGCGGTGCCCGGGAAGCAGGGGGCACCACCATGGGAAGGAGGAGGCTGCAGCCGGCCAGCACTGCTGGCACTGTTACCTTCTCCTGCAGGAGCATGCAGTACCAGGACACCCCTCTTCTGTGGACCAGAGAGAAGCAGGGGGAAGAGGCCTTTGCCCAGGCTCAGCCTTCCCCTGACCTGGGGACCCTGGGGGACACTGGTGGTGGCATGGCTATTCAGACGGATACCGTGGCAGAAGCAAACTGATGTGGTCTGAGATGAGGACACTGAGGAAGCTGTGCCAGCTGCCCAGCACTGAGCGACCAGGGATGGGACTCAGAGCGTCCCATAGTCACGCCTGAACACATCAAAGGGAGAGGTGTGCCCAAGACACGAGGGAGGGAACATGCCGGACTCACCAGGCGGGGACGGGAGAAGAGAAAGAGAAAGGCGCGGACAGCTGACCGGGACAACAGCACTCGCTTAGGCCACACTGAGCTGAGCTGTCTACTGTCCCCTTAGGAGACGACTGGATGTGGAGGATGGAACCCTTCCACGGAACTGTTTCTCTTTATTGCTGTTTGTCACATAGCCTCACATGCATGTGATATCTGATAACGTCGGTGTTCCTGTTTCCTGGTGAGATCACAGGCTCTGGGGGCTTCAAAGCTGGGCAGGCATTAGGCACCAGTTGGGTGCACAGGTCCCAGCTCTGTTGCTAAGCAGCTCTTGGATGCTGGACAGTCTGCTTAGCTTCTCAGACCCTAATAATGACTTTCTTACAGGTTATTGGAGTATTAAATGGGAATAAACACTTATTCTACCCGGGTATGGTAGCAGTTGGTCAACAAATGATGAGCCTTTTCTTCCCTCTCTCCTCTTTCTTATCCCCGTTGCTGTTAAAGCTGAAGTGAGGACTGCCTGGGTTGTCTGGTCAGGTACCTGGAGAAGGTGACCCCTGCTTCTGTTTTAGGCCTGGTGCACTGTCAGGGTTGTGCAGGCCAGGCCAGCAGCTCCTTTGGTTCTGTGATGAAGCTCATGCTTGTCCAGTCCTGCATGCAACAGCCTCGGTGAACTTTGTGATGCTCTGTGAGCAAGGCTAGTGTCAGGGCTCCATAGCTTGCATGGGCCCCACACTCAAAAGGCCCAGGCACTTGCTTAATGTTTCATCATCAGCTCGAAAGCCTTGTAATTTTCATTTAATGGAAGACTGTGTGTTTTAATTTTGCCCTGGGCCCCCCGCAACTGTATTTGGTATGATGTCTTTTATGCCCACTTCCCATGGCTGGGAAGAGCAAAGCTACATCAAGCTAAGGAAGCAAAAAGAAACCATCTGATATAAACCAGACTCATGTAAGTTCACTGAGCTTTGTAGAGCTGGCAGTAAAATACACATAAGATAAAAGTCACCACTTAAAGGAGCAATTTGGTGGCACTTTGTTGTACACCAGTCCCCACTAACTACTTTCTAGAAAATTTTCAGCACCCCCAAAGAAACCCTGTGTCCACATCAATCTTCCTTCCTCTCCACCTGGCCCCTTCCCCCACCCACAACCACCAACCTGATTCTTGTAGGGAAGGATGAAATTGACCTCTTAGAGGGATGGAAAGCTGGGATCCCGGCATTTCTGGGTGTGTCTGTACAGACGTTTCCAGAAGAAATCAACATTAGCATTAGTGGACAACCCACTGAAGATAATCTGCCCTGACCAACGTGTGCAGGCATCAGCTGGGCCACTGAGGGCAGGAACAGAACAAAAAGGCAGAGGCAGGGTGAATTCTCTCTCCCTGTGCTGCCCTCACACACTGCAGCCTTCAGACAGTGGATTCCAGGACTTAAACCAGTACCTCCACCTCTGCCCTCCGTGTTGTTCTGGGGCTCAGTGACCAGCTGGGAGGCTCCGAGTTCTTACTCCCTTAAGTTAAAAGTCATCGTCTCAAGAACACCATTGTGTGGTCATTACGGTCCTCATTAATGTCATCACTGCTGTTGTCACAAGGAAGCGGGCCACGATGATGATGATGATGATGATGATGATGATGATGATGACTGCGATGACAGCTACCCAACCCAACACGACAACTAGAAGATGCTAAGCCTCAATTCTGAGCTACAGCTTCCAAGCCTAATGTTGAATCCAATTGTGTCCAGTTCCAAAGCCTGTAGTCTCCCCTGCCGCCTGTCTCAGTCTCCCAAAAGAACGTGGACCGGACCAGGTTAGGGCCATGCAGGCAGAGAGAAATCACAAGCTGAAATCCGGAGGACGAAAAGCGAGGACAGGCAGGCTGGGTAAAGATTAGAGGAGCTGCGCATGGCAGGTGGGCGGGAGCCCTATGCTGGGCTCCTCACTGGCCATTCTTAGAGTCCGGACCACAGCCCACAGCATCCAGAAGCCTTTGAATGAATCTCCCCAGGATCCAAACTGTTCTGTGGATATTTTGGCTGGAAAGAAAGATTGTACAGAATGAGGGAAGACAAGCTGAGCGGCTACAAACTCCTGGGGAAGCCCTGGGCCCTGGCCACAGCCCTTCACAGAATCAGTGATTTGTATCATATTAAAATAACTACAATGCTTTGGCAGGAACCTCACTGTGGGTGCCTCCCAGCACTTGCAAACAACAGCTCATTAGGCTTCTTCCTTTGTCTACCTACGCACGCATCAAATGGGATAGGCATAGTTTGATGCCCACAAGTCACCCTGAGAATTCTTTCTTTTCTGGGCCTGAGAGGAGGCAGGGGAGATGTTCACAGAGGATGGAATCGTCCCCACTGCAGGGCTGGCCTGGGTCAGTGGCAGCAGCACACAGGAGCAAAAGCCGCCTCTGGTCATCAGAGACAGGGGCCTGGAAAACAGGCAATGTGCTAGACACGTGGCTCCTGCAATGCAAAGAGGTATTTGGTATAATTTCCTAGCAGGAGAGACAGGTATCAGTGGAGACAAAGAATCAGGTTTTCAGCAGCCATCTTTTCTTTTGAGAAAGCCCACCCAGACCCAAGCCGGTACTTTAAAGGCCCTGGAACCTGGAGACTTTTCTTAAGAATAGCCAGATGGTCGTCACAAATGTCCCTGAGAACCACGGAAATGTTGGAGTTCAGAGCAATACCGTACAAGAGGGAGAGATGGATAAAACGGGGGTGTGGGGATGAGTTTGTTTGTGGGGATGTGATTTTTTTGGATGGAGAATATTCTGATGCTCTGTGGAGCAGGATGACCTGATAGTAAGGGAGCATCTGCCCCAGCTGTAGGATTGTGGACCTAGGAGGCTGCCCACTTACATTCCCGCCCTCTGCCCCCAGCCTGACCACTTCCTGCTTTCATGACCTCTGTAAAATCACTTTTTTCTCTGAGCCTCAATTTCCACATTTGTAAAATGGCTCTAAGCCATTTAGCTATTATGAGAGCATTTAATGTCTCTTTGAACATTAAATGAACAAATGCTGTAAGCCCCTTAGGCGAGGCCAGACATTATGGCTCACATCTAGATGTCCCCCCAAAGCCTGCTGAGCTCTCAGGCAGGGTTTTTGATAGGTGGTTGGGTCATGGGTGTATGATCCTGGATTTGTCCACTGGTTGGTTTAGCACAGTTCTGGGTGTAGCTGAATGGATTTACTGAAGCCCCACTTTGGGTGTGGGTAGCACCAACCAATAGGCTTTTAGCCTGATAGAATAGAAAGGGAAAGACAGAAGCAAGTCTGCTGCCTCCTGTTTGCCCTGCCATGGACTGTTTCTCCTCTACAGCGCCCCTCTGCCGTGCCAGCCTGCCTTGGCTGACCATGAACTGAAACCTCTACAAACTGTGAGCTAAAATGAACCTTTCCTCCTCTAACTTGTTGGTGAGAGGCATTGTGTCTCAGCAATGAGAAACTAAGTAGGTCCCTGGTGCACTGTGAGGGCTGCGGGGCACTTGCAGGATAGTCAGAGGGTTCTTAGAGGATTCCATGTTAATTCAGCTCTTCTTTAATCTCTAATAACCTTGTAAATCTTTAACATTATTTTCTTGAAGTGGCTATCACTTGTCAAATTTATTTTGTCTTTTTATTTTCTGTTAGGTATGTTTCTAGAAATCGAATTTGAGCACATTTTTGCTTTAATCTGAATTTTAACTCCTTCATAAATATTGAAATTTTTTTTCATTCCCACTGCCTTGGTACATCTCATTCTCTATTTCTCTCCCTCTTGAAATTTGCTGTATGCATACAATTTATTTTATTTCATATTTTTCTTCCAGAAGTTTGGAAATCTGTATCCTAATTCTAGTAAACTAGTAATTGCTTTGGAAATTTTGGCCTCACCTACTTCTATATGCTGTGTAAATTATTTATACTTTGGATTTCACCGGTAAGAGAAACCATGCAATTCAAGCTTGTGTGTCTTATTTATTTCACTTAACATTGCGGGCTCAAGGTGCATCCATTTTTCTCTAAATGACCCAAGTTTATGCTTCTCTGTGGCATAGCTGTCCTCCATTGTGAGTAATAGCACATTGTCTTTATCTATTCATCTGTTGATGGACATGTAGGTAACTTCCAAGACTCAGCTTTTATGAGTTGTGCAGCTATAAACATGGGAGCACCTGGATCACTGATATGCAATGACTTTAACTCTTGCAGTAAGATACCTAGAAGGGAAGTAGCTTTGTCAAGTGGAATTTCTAATTTTAATTCTTTGAGGAATCTCCATACTGTTTGTACTCGTCTACATTTCCACCAACAATGTAGGAGAGTTATTTTTACACCGCAACCTCCCCGTTTGTTATTATTTTATTTACTAATAAAAGCCATTCTTTCTGGAGTAAGATGGAAGATCTAGATTTTAAGTTTTTATGAATTTTAGCTCCAGACTTTGCAAAGGTTTCCCGATTTAAAGCTCTTTTTAATTCTTACAATATAATTTTATTCATGATAAGGACAGTAGCACTGGTAATATTTTGAAGGCTGTAACTGCCATCTCTCTGTGCTCTTCTCTTTGTCTGGAACTTTTTCTTGCTTCCTTCTTGCCAGAATTCAACTTTGGCTTCTCTTATGTACACACTGAACACCTCTTCCTGTAGGAACCTTTTATAGGTGGTATAACTGTGCATAGCTGAAGAATGGTGTGTCCTCTTTTTCACCCTGTTTGATGTAATACACAATTCTAAATTCAGATTCTCCCTGCAACTTTGGACATATTGTCTCAATTATATTTCAGTAAGTTGAAAATTATAAATTGGATGTTGAAAGTTATAAATTGGATGCCAATTTAATTCTTACTATTTGGAAAGTAGCCTGCTTTTTCCTCCTTTAGGATTGACTTTTTTTAGGCTTGAATTTCAGAATTTTGGCTTATATTCAGGGCCAAAATGTAAGATATATAGATAGACATGCTCAGACATGCCTTAAACCCCTGCAGGTGACATAACTTGTGGCTCACAAGTCCTTTGTATAACATGACATGGTACTTGCCTAGAACCTGCGCACATACTCCCCCATACCTTTAGTCTAGTTAGATTACTTTAAATGTCTGGCAGGAAGTCAATGTTATGGAAATAGTTGCTATACTGTATCATTTAGGGAATAGTAACTGGAAAAAAAGAATATGCATGCTCAAATAAGACACAATTTTTTTCAAGTACTTTTTGTCCACAGTTGAATGTAAAAATGTGAAAGCTGTGGACCTACAGGGCCAAACGAACACTTAAAATATATGTTCACAGTGTACGTTAAAAAAGGAATGTTCTTTAAAGATGTATGTTAAAATAAAATGTACATTTACAGTGTTTTTGCTTAGCATTCAATAATTTCCTTAGAATCAATCTGTGTTAACATCAGTCCATTTTCTTTTATGGCCTTCAATCAGATTTTGATTCTCTCTGTTATCACTTATCTGGATCACTCATCCTTGGGCAATTATTTGAGGATTTTTTGGAACTATCATCCACTTCTCATCATTTTTCTCTATTTCTCTTTCTCTTTCCTTCCTTGCGCATAGGAGATCACCTCATTCTACCTTCTGTTATGGTTTGTATCTAGATGTCCCCCCGAAGCCTCAGGCAGGTGGGGCTTTTTCAGAGGTGGATGGATCTAGAGTGTGTGATGCTGGGATTGACCTATGGTGCACATGGCACTAGGATTAAAACTGTAAGTGCTCCCTGCCCTAAGTAGCCTGGCCAGGATATAAGGGATAGAAAGAACTGTGGCCATTCCTTGTTGCTTTGCTACCTCTTCCCGCCATGAACTGTTTCTCCTCTGCAATGCCTGTCTCCCATGTGCCACCCTGCCTTGGAGCCAGCTGATGATGGACTGAAATCTCTGCAAACTGTGAGCTAAGTAAACCTTTCCTCCTTTAACTTTGAGTGGTGGGATTTTGTCTCAGCAAGGGGAGAAAATTAACTACGACATCTTCCCAATCAACTCAGAGTGACTCTGAGTTGGTCTCTACTCCATCCATAGAGCACGCCGTTTATAAACTGTGTCCCAAAGTCTTCGCTACTCCTGCTCTTCTTTCATGGCAGTTTCTTATTTTGGAATGCCATATATGCATGTTCATGGTAGGAACACTCAGCCTCAGAAAGCTGTCATTCCTCCCTCAACTCATCTACAGATGCAGCATATTTCTAATCCAAATTCTAATAAGGGTCCTATAGAACCTGAAAAATGGATTCCAAAGTTTATGCAGAAGTGTGAAGAAGCAAAAATGGCAGGGATGGGGAAAAGTGGAGTGAAAGATTGCCTGTGGCTGTCCAGGCTGGCCAGAGAGCAGGGTCCCACAAGACCCCGCACAAGTTGGTAACTTGGCCAGATATAAAGCATAGGCAACCTGGAATTGGACCCACAGGGGAAAATAAGAGGACGCAGAGCAGAGAAAGGGGTTCAGAGAGACTTCTCACTAACAGTATTGACACAACTCA